AAAAGTAGGTTTTGGGTTCTTAAGGTAAACGCTAAATCCCAACAGGGTTGAAGGGTGTTTAAGGTCAATGGTTCAGGGTTTAGGGTAATGAGTAAAGACCTGATACAATATCGCGTCTAGAACCCTTTAATGGTTTTAAGAAGTACGCCTTCTAACGAGTTAGCCCCTCCTTAAGTCTTAGGGTTGATTCTGGTTCGACAGTCACACTGCAAGGCCCTTGTTTCGGTTTGTTGGTTGGTTTAGGGTTTTGGGGTTTGTGTTCTTTTTGATATGTGGATTTAGACATGTACGCGACGATGGTTTTAGGGTTTCGGGTTGTCGGGGTGTATTTCGGTAGAGCCATACGTTGACTAGAGGGCACTACTTTGCGACCCTTGAATGTATCTCCGAATTTGAGGGCTTGGGGTTTTACAGCAGAACTCAAGCCATTTTTTACTTCTCCTTCGATTGCTGACCGTATGGTGTGAAGTGTACCAATTCCGTGCGCTTTTAGTTCTAAAATCGAATTGGCTCATTTCCGGATCCATGTACCCAAAGTTGGAGCTGCTAAGGCTACGTTCTTGTAGACTTAATGGCGTGCCGTTATCAACAGCCAGAGAACCGCACATGGGACATCAGGAAAGTGGTTTGGTGCTGACAGATGCTAGATGCCAAGGATCACCGCACCGCGCATTGGACCATTGCTGCAGTGCATCCAGATTGTGATTACGCTGATGCCGGGCCGCACTCGTTTCCTAAACCCTAAACCCTAAACCAAACTCGAAACCCTAAACCTTAAACCCTAAACCCTTAAACCCTAATTAACCTGTTCTGCTTTGTTCTCTTGTTCTTGTGCCTACTTGGGCTTCTCACACCTCAGGGTCACTTCTTGTAGGGAGCCCTGAGTCGAAATGTAAGGGTTAGGTCCTACAGCAGCCCCTTCAAACCCTAAAACATGAAGCCCTACTTGGAGCTTCACGCGTAGTAACCAAGTAGGGTTATAAGTCCCCTGACATGGGTTATGACTATAGTTACCGTACTTATATAACCCCACTTGTAACTACCCATCAATCTCCGAGAAAAAACTAGACCCATAAGCCCTGTCCTAAGTCCTAAGCCTATAGTGCCCCAAACATTCAAACCTTATTTCCAGACCTCAGCAGTCAATAGTTCGCTTTCTTGAGGCCCAGAGCGGGGCCACCACAACATACTCCAGAGATCTTGACATAATCCATATCGGAGTTCCTGAACAGTCCAACCCTGGATTTGAAGGATCCTTCTTTATTGCTACCCTTGTCGCATGGACCGCTAGATACAGTGGCTGAAGCTTCTGAAAACTTGATATGAGTCAGTCAGCAACCCCAAACCGTAAACCCTTAAACCCTAAACCCGAAGTTTCTGAACACCCGGTATGAGTCCTAAAGCCTAAAACCCTTAAACCCCTAAACCCGAAGTTTCTGAACACCCGCTATCCGATACGGGTCAGCAGCTTGGCCCCTCAGGGCAGATTTGGCAACCTCAAGCCTCCAACCCTAACACCCAGAGGTTTAGGATTTTGGGTTTAGGGTTTAGGGTCTGGGGTCTCGCAATTGAGGTATGATACCCTTAATAGGTGTTTTGGGGGTTTAGGGTTTAGGGTTTAGGGGTTCCCTATTATAACTAAAGTACAATATACCCCAAACCCTATTCTAGTTATTAAGTCCCCTACAGTACTTACCATCCCCTACATCATCCCAAAGGTTACCCTTTCCTTCCCCTACTTGGAGGTTCATGTGCAGTTATAATGGGTGGGGTTAGTCCCTTATGGGTATCAATCACGCTTAGAGCTGCCCATGAACCTCCAAGTAAGATACTGGGCAAGTACGAAATCCTGAACCCTAAACCCTGAACCAACCCTAAACCCAAAGCCCCAAGCCCTAAACCCTAAACCCCAAGCCCTAAGCGCTAAACCGCTTGATCCTAAGCCCTCGAACCCTCAACCCTAAGCCCTCGAACCCTCAGCCCTCCAACCCCCAGCCCTCCAACCTAAGCCCTAAGCCGAACCCGAAGCCCTGGAACCGAAACCCTAAGCTTTAAACCCTAAACCCTAAACCTTAAACCCTAAACCCGAAACCTTAAACCCTAAACCCTAAACCTTAATCCCTCGAGCCCTAAGCCTTCGAAACTATGAGTCTCCCCCCAAAGCCTCAAAGCTTTAGCCCCAAACGCTGCAAACCCATCAGCCTTTTAGGGGTGAGGGTTTAGGGTTAAGGGGTTTTAGGGTTCAGGGGTTTAGGGTTAAGGGTTTTTAGGGTTCAGGGGTAGGGTTAAGGGATTTTAGGGTTCAGGGGTCAAGGGGTTTAGGGCTAGGGTGAAGGGGTTTTAGAGTTTAGGTTTTTTGAGTTATTTGCTTGAACCCCGAAAAGACCCTGAGTGCCTTAAACCCCTAGGCCCCAAATACTTCAGAACAGAGTTCAGATGTCCCAAGAGCCCTGCAAACCCTGAACCCCTTGAAGTACGCCGAGGATGAAAGATCTTGGGCGGCAAAGAACCTTCACCATCTGCCCTTCGAACGTCAATGTTCAATCACGCGGTTCGGGGTTTTGGGTTCCGAGTTGAGGTATGGATTTGGGTTTACAGAGTTCAGGGTTCAGGTTCTGGAGTGTTGAGTATAGGCTCTCTAGGGCTTTGAGTTTGGAATTTGGTGTGTAGGATTTCAGCAGCTTGTTGCTTTTCGTGGTACTTTGGAGTGACGTTAGAGGGGACTCTTAAACCCTATTATAAACCCTAAGCTAAGTATTCAAAACTTTTGCTAAGGGCTTTGAGAGGCTTTGACAAAGATGTTTCAACCCTAAACTCTAAACCCTAAACCCTAAAAACCCTAAATCCTAAACCCTAAAACCCCTAAACTCTAAACCCTAAAAACCCTAAAAGCCCTAAACCCCAAAACCCTAAACTTAAAGAGGGTTCCAGGTGTAAGTTTTAGATAAAGTCAGGCCTCGGCTTCAGAAGCTGTTCGGGTTTAGGGTTTAGGGTTTAGGGTTTGGACAGGGGCCTTAATAGTTTTCCTATACTATCTTGGGGGCGGGCCCTTGGTATAATGCAAAGTACCACCTACCCCAAAACTCTGTTCTAATTATCAAGGCCCCTATACCCTAAACCCTTCTGGTAGCCCCTATCGTAACCCTTTAACGGAACACCCCCAAAACCCTATTCTGATTATTAAGGCCCCTATACCCCTTATGGTAGCCCCTATAGTAACCCTTTATATTAAACCCTTTAAAGGAACATCCCCAAAACCCTATTCTGAGTATTAAGGCCCCCATACCCTAAACTATGATGGTAGCCCCTATAGTAACCCTTTAAGAAGCCCCTTTTTAAAGGAACATCCCCAAAACCCTTTTCCAAGTATTAAGGGTCCTCCCCTCAACCCCTAAACCCTAAACCCTAAACCCTAAACCCTAAACCCCCAAACCCCAAACCCTAAACCCTAAACCCTAAACCCTAAAACCCCAAACCCTAAACCCTGAACCCTACATTAGGTGACGGGTTCAGGGTTTGGAGCTGAGGCCTCGGGATCCTGAGGTCACATTTTTTCGGGTTTTGGACTTCGGAATTCGGAGTGTGAGGATTCAGGGTTTTAGGGTTTAGGGTTTAGGGTTTAGGGTTTTAAAGTTTAGGGGTTAGGGTTTAGGGTTTAGGGGTTTAGGGTTCAGGGTTTAGGGTTTAGGTCTAGGGCTTCAGTTTGTCGCTTCGAGGTTTTGGGTCAAGGATTTGGGCTGTTGGGGGGCTGGATGTTTGGACGTGTCTTCCGAACGAGTTGTCACTTACACTGTCTTCTTGGGTAAGTTGTGGATTGTTGTTGCTTGTGGTTGTTGTGGTTGTTGACGTTGATGTTGATGATGGCTTGTTTGTTTCGGGTTTGCTGTGTGTCCGCATGTTCGTCTCTTTGTGTGATGACCAGGGGGTTCTCCTAGCATTAATCACTACTGTTCCATGCTTTCACTGCATGACTTTTCAGACGCCCGGCACGGCGAAATGTACACACGAGCATAATGTGCAGCATATTGCTGGCAGGAATGTTCTAGTCTATACTTTTACCCCCAAAGTACCCAAAAAGGGGGTTTAGGGTTTAGGGTTTGGGATTTAGGGTATAGGGGCCTTTAAAGGTCAAAGTATATACTATTTGAGTACATGGGCCCCTAGGGCTTAGCTGCCCTAGGCTTCGTTTCGGTAAGTAAACCCTGGACCCTACTCCAGCTCCGAGCCTTGAACCCTGATCCTGATGCGTGTTAGGGTTTTGGGTCTGGGGTTTAGGGTTTAGGGTTTAGGGTTGAGGGCTGAAGGTTTAGGGTTGAGGGTTTAGGGTTTAAAGCTTAGGGTTGAGGGGTGAGGGCTGAGGGTTTAGGGTTGAGGGTCTAGGGTTTAGGGTTTAGAGTTTAGGGTTTAGGGTTTAGGGGTTTAGGGTTCAGGGTTTAGGGTTTAGGGGTTTAGGGTTGAGGGTGTGCCATCTGGTGGTTCTGTTTTCTGACGATGTGTTGAAATAAATACCCATAATATTTTGGGGGGGGGTTCCTGCTCATTAACATAGTATAATGGGCCCCAAAACGCTACTGTATAATTCTAATCATTAAGGCTCCTACATTACGTCAGTTCATGGCGGCATTTCACCAGGGATGTTTGTGTCGCAGTTTCGGACCTGTTTCTCCTTCGTTTCATGTAGAACATACCTGCTTGCGACATGTCTCACTAAAAACGTTGTAGATGGATCACTTGAGTCGGTTACGTCACGTCCCCTCTACCCAACTGTTGCTATGAAGCCGGCATGCTTGTTGGCAATACTTGGCATTGGAAGTCGCAATCGTTGTCCCTAAACCGTAGACCCTAAGCCCGTCCTGGCCTCTTGAGTCTCTACCTCACTACAGGACCCAGTCGTTCACCGTTCTCTCTCCATCCATGCCGCCAGCACCCCGAACGTTTTTGATTTCCTAAACCCTCACGCCGTAGCGCTACTCCTGAAACCCGTGCAAATGCGAGGCAAGATGGTTGTTCCCAGCTCGGCTGTGAGCAGTCTGTTGGGAACAGGCGGCATGCATGCGCAAGACATGACGCGTTTGACGGGTTGCCGAATCAGTGTAAGCAAGCGGAGACTTGCCTGCCCTTGAGTGTCTTTGCGCTTGAAGGCTTTGGCTTTAGGTTTTTCTTTGGGGCTTGTGGCGTTTCGTATTGCATTGTCGTATACATGAGCTTTCATAGTACATGAAGGGGCACGTTGGTGGTAGATCCTGCTCAAGGTAGCTTCTAGTGCCGCTTCAACCCCTAAACTCTGCAACGTAAACCCTAGGCCCACAAAAGCACAAAGACCTAAGCCTAAGCCCTAAACCTTAACCCCTAACCCCTAAACCCTAAACCCGAGCGGCTATAGTGTAAGACGTCTTTCGTTTGGGAGGCCTGCCAGGCTATAAAAAGGCTAAGCCCAATACTCGCGTTAGCAATATAATTTACATATGTGTGTATGTATGTGTATATATATATATATGTATATATATATATATATATATGTATATATATATATATATAGATAGATATATAGAGGGAGTAATTACCTATATTATTTTGGGGGTCCTTATCACAATGATAGTAAAATATCCCCAAAACCCCTTTTGAAAATAATTAAGGCCCCTACATTATGCTTACTCCCACCAGGGACTGTGTGCGGACTGTGTGCGGCTCCCGAAGCTTACTTAGAGGGTCATGGTGCTAAGCAATTAGGGTTTAGGGTTTAGGGCTTAGGGTTTAGGGTTTATTGTAAGCACCTACAAACCTAATTGCGGTACCCAGAAGCCCGCTTGCAGCTACCCCTGAGCCTAAACCGTCAAAAGTACTATCCGATTAAGCCGAAACCCTAGGCCTCAAACCCTGAGTCTTAGAACCACCCAAGGACCTTCGAGTGGGTTTAGTTGTGTAGGGTTCGGATTTTGGGTTTAGCTGCTTTGTCAGCTTGGCCTTCCTAGATTTCAGTTCATATAAGATACTCCTTGATGGGATCTATAAAATCTACAGTGTCCTATACAATCATATATATATATATAGGGTTCTGTAAGGGGTTGGTATTTGCAGAGTTTGTCTCGGAGGCATTTAGAACTTTGGGCATTGGCGTGGTTCGGGGTTTAGGTGTGCAGCGTGTAGAGTTATTATACTGCTTTGGTTGTTGTGGCTTCCGGATGTTTAGCAGTAAGGGGTTTGCTGGTTTATGTTGTTTCTTTGGGTGCCTCGGGTTTGGAGTTCGAGATCTGAAGTGACCGAGGAATCCGAACATGATGGAGCGGGTGGTCGTGCTTTCCGCAGAGGGGACGCTTGCTGCAAAGTTTCCCTAAACCCTAAACCCCAAAACCCTAAACCCTAAACCCTAACCCAAACCCCTAAACCCCTAAACCCCTAAATCCCTAAACCCTAAACCCCTAAACCGTTATAAACCCTAAACCCCAACCCCTAAAGCCTAAAACCCCTTGAGTACCTGCGTAGCGGGTCCTCACTCGGATTCCGGATGTTAGATTTTGTTATACACTAGATTGGCGGTCGACGTGCGAGTGGCTCATATAGTCTATAGATGTTATATGTTGTAAGTATGTATGTATTTATGCTTATATTTATGTATGCGTGTGTGTACATACATACATATATATATATATACACCTTTACTATAGACGGTGTATAAAGATATACTATACATATATACACAGCTGCACAGACATGTGGTCTGTTGATATAGGCAATTGCCTGACCTCCTTTACCAGCCCTGGCTCTGGCGTAGCGACGAGTGTAGCTCGTCTACTTTACTTGTTACCCATGAACCTCCAAGCAAACCCTAAACCCCAAACTCTATAGCCCTAAACCCTAAACCCTAAATCCCAAACCCTAACCCTAAACCCGCCTCAGGATCGACAGCCTCGTCATGGGCGCCTGCCTTGTGGCTGAGCGGCTTCAAGCGAACCCGCATCTTCGAGAGCACATGTGCCTGTGAAGCAGATGGTGCCGTGTTTCTTTAAAGGGCCCTAAACCCTAAACCCTTAAACCCCTAAACCCTAAACCCACAACACTTTAGTGTAAGGGTTCTTTTAAAAAAAGAGTCAGTAGGAGTAGTAGGGTTTAGCCCTCAGACCCAGCGT